ATTGGGGAAGTAGTCAGTCTATTTACAGTGAGTCTGTTTTGCAGCATTTTTATGCACTCTCGTACAACTCTATTAGTTTTAATTCCCCAGAATGGTCACTGAAGTTTGAATGAAATTTTGAATTGGTAATTAAAGTATTGATTCGACCTATTTAGTCTCAAAAATTAAATAATAATACATAATTGGTCATTCTTTTAGTTATGGCTGGATAAAAATCAATTCAAGTCAGTTAAATCGATCAACCAACCCAAACCAACCAATTTGGATTGGTTTTTTTAGTTCAATTGAATTGGGTTAGGGTTAGTAAATCAAATTTTAGGTCAAATTGGATTGGGTTTCGAGTTATCTATTAAAACACAATCAAACTCAACCCAACACAATAAACTAAAAAATATTAAAAAGAAAATTAGTAATTAAAACCTAAAACCAAATTATCAAAATTCTCCTATGCCTCACGTCTATTCTGCCTCTTATTGATGTTCGTGTCTCGACTTCTCGACTCGATTTTTTGACGTAATTTTTGACTCGAGCCTTTCAAATAGACTTGAAATGGTAGTATTGATCCAACTTCAATCGACTTAATGTCTTTCAAATCACCATTTTTGGTTCAAATTGAAATTGTATCAAACTTTAAAAAAATTATTCAAATTCAACGAAAAATGTCTCAACCATTAGGCACAAAAAAATTGTCCAACATGAATTGAAATTAAGTCCAAACCGACCAACCCAACCCAAAACAACCCGAGTTTGGTCGGTTTGAATTGGGTTGAGTTTCAACTGTAAATGGGTTTGTTTAAGTTTGAATTATTGTTAAACTGAACATGTTGGGTTGGATTTGGCTTGGACTCAAAACCAATCCAACCCAACCCACGCCCAGCCTTACTTTTAGCAACATCCACCAACCATGGTGGTGTCATGAAATTACAAATCTCCGAAGTACAAGGTGACAGTAAGTTGTGGCCATTCAAAGTCATTTCTGGACCTGGCGATAAACCGATGATTGTAGTCATCTACAAGGGTGAAGAGAAGCAATTTGCGGATGAGGAAATCTCTTCCATGGTTTTAATTAAGATGAAGAAATTGCTGAGGCAGTCCTTGGTTCAACCTTTAAGAATGCTGTGGTCACTGTCCCGGCGTCAAGCAACCAAGGATGCAGGTGTAATTTCTGGTCTGAATGCGATGAGTGTCATCAATGAACCGACAGCTGCTGACATTGCCTGTGGTCTTGACAAGAAGGCAACCAGTNAATGTGATGCGTATCATCAATGAACCAACATCAGCTGCCATTGCTTATGGTCTTGTCAAGGCAACCAGTGTTGGTGAGAAGAATGTGCTGATATTTGATCTTGGAGATGGTACTTTTGATGCATCTCTTCTAACCATCGAGGAGGGTATCTTTGGGGTGAAGGGCTGAAGGCAACTGCTGGTGACACTCATCTTGGCATTGAAGACTTTGAAAACAGAATGGTGAGTCAATTTGTTCAAGAATTCAACAGAAATAACAAGATAAGACGTCCCTAGTAACCACAGGGCTCTCAGGGGATTGAGGACAGCTTATGAGAGAGCAAAGAGAAATCTCTCATCCGCCACCCAAACCACTATTGAGATAGACTCACTCTACGAGG